TTCTTCTTTTCTACAACTTTCGCCAAAATGCAAGGAAATTTGGTGTTCCCGCAGACGATCCTGCAATCGTGGGTAATTCAACGCGAAACCAGGCAGGCGATGCGGTATATCGCAGCCTCCCCTCGACCGTGGTCTCCTAGATGACCTCTTCGCGCTCGAACCCCTGGGGTCTCAGTGCAGCGTTCGGCTTGTGACCGTCTTTGTACTCGCTGACGAACGGGTTTGGGTCTTCCTTTTGGTTGAGGTTACCTAGGGTGTGGTTAACGCCTCGGTGGATGGCCTCTGCGGTACGTCGTTAGCGTGCTGCGATTTGCTTGGGGGGGAGGTCGCGGGGATCGCTTACCGTCGGCCCTGATGTACATAATCAAGTCCTTCATCGTCCTGTGTCCCTCCGGGATCTTCCAGTACTGAACCGCGATGTCGGGAATGACAAAGTTGGGATCGGACCACTTGGGGAGGAGGCCCTGGCCGATCTCGTACAGGCAGCGCGTGTAGGTGTGCACGGCTTCCTCCTCAAGGTACCCGACGAAGCGATGAGTGACCTTTGGCGCGATTAGGTATGACAGGAACATGCCGTTGAAGAAGACGCCCTGGGCGCCGAGGATCATGACCTTCATGAACCAGCCCGGCTCCGACATCTTCATGAAGGTCAGCAGGTGCATGCGCTCGTTGAAGCTCTCTTCGAGGAGCGTCTCGATCCAGCCGTTGTCGCGCCTCATACGGCGCAGGCTGCCGAGGTGCCGCAGCATGCCGGCGACCATGCCCGGAACTGATGGCGGGGTCAGCGTCCTCACGTACAGCGAGTTTTTTTCTAGGGGGGGTTTTTTTTTATTTTATTTTTAGGGTGCGGGATTTCCGAGACTTACCTCCGGCGATGCTCTCGAGAAAGATGAACCGCACCAGCCACTGTGACTCGGTCAGGGGCTTGTCGGCGATCAGCGACGTCGTCGGGTTCTTCTTGTCAACCTGCTGCTCCTTGCCCAGCCCCGTCGCCCGGTCCATAAACCACCGCGCCAGACGCACGAGTTTCCAGGCCACCCAGTCGCTGGCCGAGCGCGGCTCACGGTGGTCCGGCACGATGTCATGCATCTGTTGCTCGGTGTAGCCCGGGTGGGGCCATGCCGGTGCCGTCGTGCGGATGTGCTCCGTCTCCTTGGCGGGGAAGAAGTCCTTGAGCCGGGTGACGGGCGTTGTCGAAAAGGACCGTCCGCGGCCGCTGCCGGGCTGCGAATATGCGACCGCTGAGATGCGGAGGCCGGCGGTCGAGTGGCAGTGGTAGCCTACGGAGGAGGATGAGACCATGCTGTGAAGCGCCGCCGCCCGGGCAAGTTGGGCAGCCTGCTTCGGCGCGCAGAGTCTAGTGGATGCCTGTGATGAAAGCATGAGTGGGGCGTGACTTTGAAAGTAAGAATGGTAGGTATGTTTCAAGATTGGATGATGTTCAACAATGGTCTTGCTATTGTCTTTGGTGACCAGTGGAAGTACGGCCTGAGGGAGGCTCATGGTCCAGTCTTATATCCATATAGCATCATGGGCGACCATGGCGGCCAGGGTCTCACCCTGTGAGGACGATGACGGTTCCGGTGAAGGCGGCCTACACGCAGCCCTAGGACAGGGGACGAACGAAGATGGACCGGGTAACTGTGACCAGGAATCAAGAATGCTACACACGAGCCTCGGGGAGCAGGCAGGTATGGCGGTAGGTCCCAGGCGTCCGGGTGACACTCCGAGACACCGCCGCCGCCGCCAAGAGAAGAAAAACCCCAAAACTTGATGGCCTCCTTTCTCTAAAATTCGTCACTCTAATATGGATTATGTGGGAAACGCCGTCCTCGGTGGGGCGTGTAAGACGGCCGAATACAAAGCAAAGGCCGCGGGCGCGGGCAGCGGCAGCGTGGTTTGGGTCAGCTGGACCAGCTGTGCGGCGCTGATATCGGGTGCTGTCGGGATGCAACGTCTAGCTTCTCTCAAAGGGCTCGTGGGCATTAGTTAGAGGTTCCGCGCCTTTTTCGTGCAAACACGATTGGTCAGAGTTCAGAGTACTACCGGTACGGTATTCGCCTCTCTTTCCCCTTCTTTTCGAGATCCTGTACTCGGCTCGAGCCGCCGGTTGGCTTTTCCGAGGCGCGTTTCGGACAGGAATAGGTTGTGGCTTTGTGAGGCATATGTCTACATTTCGTCCCCGAGGCTCTGATATGTCCCAGAAGTCCGTCAAAGCCTAGCCTATTGAGAAACGCACACGGCGATTGTCCATAGGCACGTAGCTCCTCCACACGACAGGCCTAGGAAGCCCGAGAGGCCTGTCCGCATATCTCAAACTTTCAAATCCCGCGAAACAACTGACAGTACTTCGGGGTCCAGGCGCATTCGCCGCCCGACTCCGCCCTCCCGCCCCGGAGGTCAAAGAGGACACAAGCTGGATCGTCTTGTGAACACTCCCCCTAGAGTCAGAAGACGATTACGGGACGGAACAGAGGCACCCTCCTGGCCATCCTCTGTATTGAAAACGCGATGATGTATGAAATGGATCGGAACTCGTTGACTAATTGACGTATTGCGGAGCTTTCAAAAGGGAGGGCAATCTGGCTCAGATGTCTGGCTTTCTGCCTTGTGGTGTTGAGTATCCGGAATGATGCCTATACTGTGTCCATCCGACTGTGTTAGATAGAGTATCATTGCGTACCTCACCTGTGCGACCTTCAGAGGCACGCCCTGGATTCGTACCTCGGTCTGACCTTCTGCCGTGTCGTCTTCGCGTCTCATGCCATTGAACACTAGACTAGACGATTTTGGCCAGGGGTGCGACGGTCCCGCGAGGCAAAATAGGTTTGAGGCGCGTGTCGAAGGGCTGTCGGGAGAAGGCGGCTCTGCAGGCGAAGAACGACACCCAACGCGCCGGATCATGTCCGTCTATTTGACGACGTTGGTTTGCGAGATACCCAAGTGTAAGGTGATACACCTTGGGGCCAGTATAGTGGGTTGTATGATCGATGTATTGCCTAGCTATGGCCCAACTGTGGGGTGATCTATGTACTTGTGCGGTACCGTATGCCTGAGGCATGCCTCACACCAAGGTTGTCTTGAGAAGTTGACTGAGAACAAATAGAGAGCCGCTGTCAGAGATGCCTCGCCATGCTCTGGTTCGATCGCCGCGGCCAGCGCTACCAAGGTGTGAAAATCCATCATGCCTCGAGATCGTAATCCAAAAACTTACATCACCAGGACGAACGTCGTCTCCGAGTCAACATTGCCGTATCAGAAATTGACACAAATCCCGCCTAGTCCATCACTATAACACGATGACCATTTAGCAGCTTCGCCAGAAACGGTAGGTTGCAGTTGACCTTCTTCACCCCGATCCAACATGGGACCGCAAGCAATGAAAGCAAATGAGGGAAAGAAATCTTCATCAGAGATCTTGGGTTGTTCAAAAATTCCCTGGCCAGCCTAGGCCAACCAGGAGTGGTCATAGTTATAGTTTTCAACTAGCAAAAACACGATCTCGGACGAATCCTCACTGATACGCGTAATGCCCTTGCACTCGGATGAAGAAGAAAAAGAGAAAAACTTCCAAAGGGCTGGTGAGTGGAGGGCATTATATAGGCTTATGGAGTGGGTCCCAATCAGTAAAGGATAGTACGTACCTTCTTGAGTAGGTACCTTTTTCGGTTGGAGGGGTAGGAGCTTGCCAGTGAATTTTTTTTTCCCCTTGGAAGGCGCGGGGTCGTCTGGGTGAGTCACTGCTTGCAAAGGTGCAGGATTTGGAAGGCTCGACCGGCGCAAAGGCAAGAAGTACCTGGGAAGATTCGAGTTTTGGTCGGTCGACGCCAATGAGGCCAATGAGGCCAAAAGATACGTTCCGTGAGGACAATTCCTCTCCAAGTGAGGTATCGTATCGTCTATGCTACTACGTAAGTATATCTGGCGACGGCGGGGTTGGTTCCTGTCAACAAACAGAGCCTTGCTACAGGACCTACTGCGTATTCTGCAACCTGCGCCTTCGGCACGAGTCCCATTTTGCGGGCTTGGACAGACCTGCTGTGTCGCTTTCAATATTGACTATTGAATCACCCCTGTAGTGTTGTTTCTGCTATATGCCATTCTACTGAGTAGGATGTACGCACCTATCTGCCTTGACATGGCTTTGAAGCATCTCGGTTTACACCACATGTATGCGCCTTTGGCCGTCACCTGACCGTTCAAAAACATCCAGGGGCTTACGAATGATTCTTTTAGTGCATCTAAAGTACTTCTTTTCGCTTTGGATTCTGGTAACTCTCTTACCTGACCAAGTCGACGATACCAGTTTATGGTGATGTGGTATTCTGAGACGGCATTTCAGGCGGCGGGGGTTGGCAGGCAGCTAGAGCTGGTACGTATAGTTCGGTGATGTCATTGGTCATTTACAAGTTCTACTACTATGTATTTATTTAGTTATTTACCGGAACTGATACGCAAGTCTATCACAAGCAGTCATCCCTTGCTTGTCGTCAAGTACAGCGGTCGGTGGGGAGGAGGCCATTTCAGCGAGTGATTTGGCGCATCGTGCTCGATCGGAGCCCATAGAATATAAAAGCACTTAGGCTGACATTCACTTGCAGTGCCGCTTTCAAGCGATGGAAACGGTCCACGGAAATGTGTTGAATCAAGGAAGGGTCTGCAGGAGATGCTTCATCCGATGAGCGCAAGCGCCATAGCCGTGCCTTTGCAGGTGGGTGGATGGATGGATGTAAGTGGGCTGCACAAAGAACGACCGAAGCTCCAGCGTCCGATTCCCCCGCTGCTGGCCGCTGCTGCGTTCGGCCTGGCTGGGTTTTCCCTTCCTTGGGTCTCCCTTCTATCCGTACTTCCTTCCTGCCCAACCACAGGCCCCCCTTCCCTTCCACAAATTGCGTCTTCCGACTTCAGCCAGGCTAGCCGGTTCCCTTTCTCTCCTAAACCTTGACAAGCGAGAAAGTTCTTTCCATAATCCAACTTCTCCTCCAAGACTGTCCTGTCCGACTCTTTGCGCAGTCGTTCTTTACATCCGCTGCCATTGTTTTTATTTCCCTTCCCCCCCCTGCGCAACCGCTATCTGACATCATGCCTCCCAAGAAGTGGGGTGAGTTATCAACGCCTGGGTTGTCCCGCACACGCACACACACAAATTCTCGTGAGAGGCAAAATGTCGCGATGATCTGCCCTGATTGGGCGGCGCAACTGCTGCCTCTCGGCCCACCACACATGATATTGCCTGCTACCCTTCTACAACGGAACTAACCATGATGTTTCCCTGCAGATGAAGAGGAGAGCGGCGAGGAGAGCTCCGGCCCTGCCTCCCCCGTTGGCGGCGCCATCCCCATTCGCCGCAAGTTCGAGGACGAGGAGGATGAGGACGACGTATGTTGGCGATGCCGTACCTTTCCGTCTTGTCCCGTGACCACTGACTTGCCGTCTCCAAAAGGTCCTCGACTCCTGGGATGCTGCCGAAGACTCCGAGGTCGAGCGTGAGAAGGCTAAGAAGGCCGAGGAGGCAAAGGCCAAGGCCCTCGAGGAGGCCAAGAAGAACAAGAAGTCCAAAGCTCAGCGCATCGCCGAGCTGAAGGAAGAGCGCGCCCGTCTCGAGGCCGAGGACTCTGACGAGGAGGAGACCGAGGCCCAGAAGAGAGAGCGCCTCCGCCGTACCGAGAAGGAGTCGGACCTGAAGCACGCCGAAGACCTCTTCGGTGATATCGGCGTCCCCGCCGGCCGCAAGGCCAACACCGCCGGCACCGCTGTTCAGATCGACCCCAACGACCCGACCAAAACGGCCAACATCGCCGACATGCCCCTCTTCAACCCCACCACCAAGACCCAGTTTGAGCACCTCCGCACCACGCTGACCCCCATCCTCGCCAACAACTCCCGCAAGGCTCACTACGGTCTTTTCCTCCAGGAGTTCACCAAGGCCCTCTCCAAGGACCTCCCCAGCGACCAGATCAAGAAGATTGCCAGCACCCTCACCGCCCTCGGCAACGAGAAGATGAAGGAGGAGAAAGCCGCTCAGGGTGGCAACAAGAAGAGCAAGGCGGCCAAGACCAAGGTTTCCGCCGTTGTCAGCCGTGCCCCTATCGCTGACACCGAGACCTACGAAGATGATGGCTTCGGAGAGTGAGTTGACCGATGGTCCGTTGCTCCCTACCAATGCTAACCCCTTTCCAGCGACGACTTTATGTGAAGCAGAAGGCAGGGTTGCAATATTCTCCCACGCCCAGACTCCAGCCTCTTATACCCCCGCGCGCCCAATCCGTGCCAACAGATCTGGCGCGGCTTCGTACCGAAGCGTGTGGCAGCGGCTTAGATTCGAGTTCCGGTGCCGCTGTCGCGGAAACCAACCCCCGCTGCGCCATGGCGCAGTAACGGGTTACTTGGAAAGGAGGGCTCTCAGGCTGTTCGGTGCTGCTGGAAAGTGCGGGCTGGGCCAGATTGTTGGAGGATGGAGAGTCGGCGGTGATTCAAAGACAGGCAGACGCTGATCAAAGGGACATCATTGCAGTGTATAGAGAGAGCCCATGGGCTCTGGGTGCATGGGCTCTGGGTGCATCATTTTCCCGCATGGTGTGAGGGAGCAAAAAAGTCATTTACGAGTGATAAGTGATTGGGCTAGGCTAAGGGGGGGCAAACCACGATAGATTTAAATGACATTCAAGGCATACATCCCGCAACGGTGTTCTCTCTCCCACATCTCCGTGCATCTTACACCTCAGCACCTTTCAGGGGTTTCACAAGGGTCCATACCGGCCGATGTGCGACTAGCTTCCTTGATCTACGGGGATACTCCCCGTGTTGGCGCCTCACTCGAGTCTTGAAGCAGGTTTATGTGCGAGCCATCCTCGCCTACGAACAAGTGTCGTTGGGTGTGGACGTAGCTCCCTTCTTGGCGACCAACATACGGTTGTGCGGCTGTGGCCCCTTTTGAAGAAGATCCCCACCGTCCAAATCATGCCTGCCATGCGAGCAGGCAACCCTTTCACCACTCTTCCCAGTCGATGTGTTTGGTTTCGGCTTAGAGTAAACCCCGAGTACGTCGGGCTGTCAAGTGTTATTGTCCGACCTTATGCGCACACAGCTTAGCTCCAGAGAGTCGCAGCAGAGTGGAGGGTATTGTCGTGATGGACATCGTTTGTCATGAATTCATGCGTTATGCTACGAACAACACCAAAGTCGTATTCCCCCTCCTTTTAGGATGAGTCAGACATGGTGGTCGGTCAGTCTTGTGATAGTCACAACATTACAGGTGGGAAGCATGGTCACAGGTACGTCCAGCAGCCACGCATATTGAAAATAGGGGTATCAATTATTTCGTCGTTTGCCTCTTCCCCTGCCAAGTGTATGTATTCCCACTTATCAAAAGGTAACGCCTCGCCTCCAAAATAGATAAATAAAACATCAGCGGAGCAGTGTTTAGTTGAGGGGGGCCTGAAACCTGCACCAAAACCACTCACAGGGCAAATTTGCGAAATTTTACCCTCGCCCGTTATATGTACACAGTTGATGGCCTTGTTGCCCCCTCCTTTCTTCTATACACGATGGAACGCCTTGCCACGTCACTAGCAGAAATCGTGCGCTCATTACAGACGGCCGTGCTCGCGTAGTGGGCAAGAAGCCAAAAAGAAAAACAAAAAAGTCAAAAGCAAGAGAGGAGAGCCGTTATGCATGTCACTTAGATGACGTTGCCTGCCATTCCCATGAAGAGTGCGTGGACGGCAAGACTCAAGGTCCAGAAGCCGACCTTCTTGAGCCGACGAACGCGGCTCTGCTGATCTTCAATATCGCGTGCGAATGCCTCGTAGGTCTCGGCCGACATATCGTCCATGAGACCACAGTCGAAGATGGACCAGCTGCCGTCAAAGTCGGTGACGCGTTTGACAATGCGGCAGGTAATGGGGATGTACGTTTTCTTGGCGTTGATGTAGGCTACGATGGGACGTACAAGAGCCTGGTTAATGTATGATATGTCCTTGGTGAATAGAGGTACAGCGGCCTTGACATCGTTCATGTGGATCCGGAGATCCATGATCAAGTACCTCCGGTCTTCCTCTGAAAAGTCGAAAAATCCGGGTGTGTCGGGAGACTCCTGGGCTTCATCTCCGGCAGGCGCCGGTGCTGCCTGGGAAAGATGGCCTTCCGTGGGCGTGGGCCCTAAAAGGTCCGAGGCAGTGGTCGCCAGAAGATCTTTTTGCAGCAGGCGCATACGGTTGGAGATGACGACGTCTTCGAGCTGATCGTAGAAGTCCGACATGACTTTAGTGATACCATCGTCAACGTCTGCGGGGAACATGACGTCGGCAACGATGTCGACGTTGCCCTCGTAAATCCAGCCGAACGGACCCTCGACACCTCGGTTGAGGTGGTCTATCTTCAGACCGTCGATGCGCAGACGGCTAAACTTCTTCCAGGCCGACGGTTCACCAACATCATCTGCGACGTCTCCATTCTCACCAGCGATGGTACCGTGGACTTGGCGCGGGTGAATGGTGAACAGAGAGCCATCGAACGAACCGGACATGTGCGTCGCCGAGAGGAAGTCGTAAAACAGCCACTGTTTCCTGAGCTGCGGCAGTTCGCAGGAATAAATGCTGACCGAAAATGGCCGGAAGCCGTTGGGCTGGTGAACGGTGACGAGGAGATCTTCCAGCTTGAAGGAATCGATCTCGAAGTCACCGGGCTCATGGGTGTGGCGGTAAGATAGGGGGTCAACCGCTTCGTCCGACCACTGCACGGATGTGCGGTCAACCACTCCACGGACGCCCTTAACTTCGACGTCCTTCAGGAAACCCTTCCCGTTCCACCATTTCAGGAATGACAAGGTCACGTTTATCGTGGCGATGGTCAGGTCGTACTGGGTGTAGTTGCCGTCGTCCTCTTCCATGACTTGGCTGTCCTGATCGGCTTGCTTTCCGGTAGCCGCTATCGCCGCGGCGTTCTCGGAAGAGCCCTTGCTGACCGAAGACGTGACCTGTCCTGGTCGTCGTGACACAAAAACGTTCTTGAAGCTGATTACACCGTCCCCCCACTTGGGGACGATGGCCGACTCAAAAATGACCGTGACACCGGCAGATTCGGTCAGGGAGTCGCCAACCCATTTGGCGAGGGTTTCTGTATGTCTTTTGTCAGGGGTGGAATCAGTGCAACAGTATGGCGAAACTTACCCTGCGCGAAAACAGTGTTAATGCTGAAGATGACCAGGGAGAAGAACGTCGTGGTCCCGACAAGAATCCAGACAAGGTGGCCGAAGAGAAACCACGACAGGAACGCGCCCCATTCATCAATGTTCCACGGTCGCATGCTCCTAATGGACACCCACTTGAACCGAACCTTCATGCGACCCAGAAATCCGTTTGCGGCGGCTAACAGTTCGTCCCGGGTGGGCCGGTGTGGCATCTTCGGTATGTGCAGATATTTCGACATGGCGGATGTAATGGATTCGGCGTCGGGGTCCGGTACGTCCGACTTCCCCTGCTCTCCTGGCTTTGGTACATCCTGCTTCGGTACATCCTGCCTCGGCTGGGCCGTCGTGCCCTTCTCCTCTTGTTTCCCACTCTTGGAACCATAATGCCTCCTTTCAGCAGGACCGTCACCCTTCGAGTTGCTGTGTATCCCTCGTCGCCACGCTTGCCGGGCTAGCTGGTACACATTGGACTTCGTCAGGCCGCTAGTGGTGGCAGACTCGGCGGCGGCGGCGCATGCTGCTGTTGCCTGTGTAGGTGCGAGATTGGTTGTGAGCCCAACAAGTAGCAGGCCACTGCCAGTATAGCTTCGGCGCGCAGTATGGATGTTCGGCCTCGGGAATGAGTGTTGTGGCCCTGAATGTATCGACCTTCTAAATACGTTCGCTTTGGTGTAGGAGGGGTTGACAGCCGGTTGACTGGCCTTCAAGCAGGTATTCTTCGCAGTCGCGGTAGTGATGGTCGTCCCTCGCGGACCCGAAGCCTTCGCCGATCCGCAGGCGCAGGACCAGACACGACGCCCGAATAGAGTCGTCGAAGGTTTAGACATGTCTCCAGCTCATCCTGTCTCTTGGTTGAAAAGAGAGACGGCGGCGACGAAATGGCAAAGGTATAAAACGAAAGAAGAAGGACGCTATTTGTTTACCGCAAAGGAGCCAAACAGAGACGCAGAGAGGGGCGAAGCAGGTTGGTATCGAGGGAGACACACGGCAAATGCTGGCACATTTCATGCGCTCATGCAGAAATGACTTGAGGTGCAAAGCTAGGCCAGGGAAGGATACCTATGAAAAGTCATCCATGACGCGGTACCACTTAGTTTACCTCGCTGAACCCGGCAGGATCCGTCACCAAAGGTACCTTAGCACCACCCTGTACCTACCTACCTAGGTATGGGGCGTCACCTCACATCAGAAAAATTTCGCAAAGTAGAAAACATGGCCCGTGCAGCAGGTCTGGGCCGTGGCTTACCTGGGCTGAAGTCCCTGGTTACCCCCCCGTCACGGCTTTATCGATAACGAAACACAAAATTTTGGAATTCGGCGATAAATCGATACGGCACTGGCAATTGGGGGCGCACCCGCCGCTTTTTTCTTCACGACCGTCTGCCACCGCACACCCCCGCCAGACCGACTCGGCTCCAACACACAATCCAATCCCGAAACGACAAGGCTGATATACGCCCTTGCGACCGAGCCTCTCACCACCCGTCGAAGCTCATAGTCCATCTAGCAACCGAAAAAAGAAAAAAAGAAGAAAAGAAAAAAACACCCAACATGCCTGCTCCGACCGCCATCAAGCAGGCGGAGGCCGCTGCCCCGCCATTCGAGGCTACCCTCCAAGAGCCTCAGCAAGACGAGGAACTCCTCCTCGATGCGCCGACTCTTCCCGAGGAGATGGATGCGATCCTTCCTAGCGTGCCGCAAAATGGAGAGGAGGGCGAGATGGTTGTCGACGAGGAGAACCGCCCGCGCTTCGCGCCCGCCAGAGACATCGTGCGCCAACCCTCCCTGCCTCGTCTTTCATGATGCCAATATCAGGAACTAAACCCTTATTCCCAGGACCCCGTCACCAGAATAGAGACTCGCAAGGTCCCCGTGCCTCCTCATAGATTCACACCCCTCAAGTCCGCTTGGCCCAAGAGTACGCTTTCACCCCTACCACCGGATTTTGCATTGCACTCGAGGATCCCGTCACGCTGACACTCAGCGCCCAGTCTACCCGCCGCTCGTCGAGCACCTCAAGCTTCAGGTTCGCATGAACCCGCGCCGGAAACAAGTCGAGCTCCGCACCTCGAAGCACACCACCGAGGATGGCGCCCTGCAGAAGGGCGAGGACTTTGTCAAGGCCTTCACCCTGGGCTTCGACGTCGACGACGCCATTGCCCTGCTGCGTCTGGACGACCTCTACAGTAAGACTGCACATGCTCTCTGCATCCCTATGATGTGGAAGTACTGACATAGCCCGCAGTCGAGACTTTCGAGATCCGTGACGTCAAGCAGGTCATGGGTAACGAGGCCCAAGGCCGTGCCATCGGCCGCATTGCGGGCAAGGACGGCAAGACCAAGTGTATGTATCTGACCCCTTCTCCCCTGATTCCGCAACCTGAGTTGCAACTACTGACACGTCGGAACAGTCGCCATCGAGAACGCCAGCAAGACCCGTATCGTCCTGGCCGACAGCAAGATCCACATTCTTGGCGCCTACAAGAACATCCACATGGCTCGCGAGTCCATCGTCAGTCTGATTCTCGGAAAGCCGCCTTCCAAGGTCTACGGCAATCTGCGGACGGTCGCTGCGCGCATGAAGGAGAGATTCTAAAACATCAGAGACATAAGTTGGACAATCGACTAACGAACAAAAGGGAGAAGAAACGGAAGGGGAAACCCGTGGAAACCCCCTTCTTGGGTGGTTTAATGATTGGCATGAACGGCATCCCATCATGGACTTTTTTTTTTCCGGCGTTGTGGGCATTTATAGAGATTCCAAAAAACGACTTCTTTTTTTGTTATGGACAGGGGAAAGGAAAAGAAATGGGAAATATTCCAAACGCTCTTCAGTCTGACTGCCGGTACTTTGTGAAAGCGATAAGCAACTCAACACTGGTGGTGATCCGATGTGGGGGTGTGCCTCCCAGGGGGTTGGCCGCCTTTCCTCCTCGCGAGCAGATACATGCGTGGAGTCTAGCCGCCATTCGACAGGAGGAGCATCGCCGCATGTATAGACCCTCCATCGTCAGCCAGCCTTCTCTCCCAAGGGCCCCTCCAAGCTTCACTCTCCCGAGATTCGCAGCGTCTCCGAATGCGTGAGCTTCGGGAGGCGGGGCGGTTTTGTGTGAGGGACTTGCTACAACGAGATTCACCGAAAGCCGACTCTCCCGCCCAGGATGATGACGGCGCAACGGGCGCAAAAAGCAGCCCGCGACAACCAGCCAGAGCCGGGAAACCTCAAATTGGGTAACTTCGGGGGAAGGGGGGGCCAAAAAGAAGAAAAAAAACAACGGGAAAAAAGGGACGAAGAGAGAAGCCACAGGCGTCACGGCATGGCGTCGGGTGAAGAAATGTCCGTAATGCGTTACTCCATAGACGTCTATACGTGCCTACCCCCCGTCGAAGAAAGACTTTTTACATCGTGGCCGACGCCCCGGCGGCCGACTGTTCAAGCCATGTCCTTTTTGTTCCAAGCATCTTGGACTGGGATTAAACCTTTTTCCACCCTTCCTCGTCTCAGTTTCTCTCTCGTCTCCGTCCCTCCAATCTCTCTGTCGCGCACATCCACACACATATACAGACCAAATGCTGTGTCTTCGCCCTCTTTGCCTCGGATCTTTGGATGATCATAGGTAGGGCGCCCAGAGGTTCCTCTTTCCGTTCAAGGTACTCTCCTTTCTTACTCCTCGTCACCCTCGCCATCCTGAGCCACCTCTTCGTGCTCCTCGTCGTCGTCGAGGCTGCCGGCGGGCACCTCGTACAGGCGGAGGATGGACTTGTTGGGGTCCTTGACGAGAATGTACTTGGTGTCCTGCTCGCGCTTGAGACACATGTCGGCGATGGTGCGGACGATACCCCAGCCATTGGAGAGCGACAGGTTCATCTGGTTGGCGAAGTCGCGCGGCTTCCAGCCGACGACGCCAAGGATGACGTGCTTGTCGTTAGACTTGGGGTTGGCCCGGGACACGAAACTGGAGTGCGTGTGTTAGCGTGGCGGGACTTTATTAGAGGCGGTGGTTTCTAGTGAAGCAGAAGGAGAAAGAACCAGAAGGAAAAGAAGGAGGAAAGACATACCCAAGCTTCATGACATCGGCGCGGGCGAGGATGCTCTGGACCGTCCACCTCGCGAGCTTGCACGAGTTGTTCTTCATCTCCGTCGCGACGACGGCACCGCGCTGGCTGACGAGCTTCGTCCGCCAGTCGAGGGCGCCACCGCTGCCCTGGGCCTTGCTGTCAAACTCGTTGAGGGCGTGCAGGGTGACGAGTTGGTCGTCGCCGCTGATGGCGTTCTTCTGGACGGCGTCGACCTCTGTGCGCACGATGAGGTAGGTGTTGTCCTCCTCGCTATTGGTGGAGATGTCGAACTTGCGGTACTTGTAGGCCTTGGAGGCGGGCGGGTCCGTGTCCTCGGACGCGTTGTAGAAGGGGTTGGCGTGAGCCATCTCGAGCTTCTGGTTCTCGGCCTCGACGACGACCTGGTTGGCGAAGTTGTGGTTGATGTAGGTGGCCTCCTCGGCGAGGGCTCCGGGCATGTTGATGCTGTCCTTGGAGCCGTCCGAGGCGTCCATGGGGGAGTCGGCAGCGTTCTCGTTGACTGTGACCATGTCGAGCGCGGCGTTGTCGCGCTTGTCGAAGAAGACCTTGTTGCCCTGCACCGAGATGACAATGTCCCAAGGATAGACGGACCGCGGGGAGCACATGAGCATGGAGAGGATGCTGTCGGTGGCGAAAATGGAGGCCTCGTTCTTGTCGGCGAGCTCCTGGATCACAGGATCGGAAGAAGTCGTGACATTATAGGCGGCGCGGTCGATGGCGTTGAGCTTACGCTCGAAACCCTTAACAGCAGGCTTGTCGTACGAGCGGTCATAGTGGTAAACGAAGCCGTAGGCGTCGACGTCCTCGCCCTCGTCGGCATCCAGGTTAAGCTTGGCGAGGCGATTGTACTCAATCTCCTCGAGGAGCTTCCAGTCCGCCTTGATGTTGATGCTGGCATCGCGGTTGCGGGCGGGTTTGTCGTAGTCCTTCCAGCCAAAACGACGACCGCCGCGGCCGCCGCCTCTTCCACCCCGGTCGAAGCCGCCGCCTCCGTAGCCGCCGCGGCCTCCCTGCTGGCCACCGCGGGCGAGCGTGGTCCGGCCGCCGCGGGCAGTAGTGCTGGCACCGCCCCGCTGGCCACGGCCGCCGCGAGTAAAGACGGCGCCGCGGCCGAATCTTGTCTTGGTGCTGTCACGGGTGTTGCTGACGACGGAGAAGGTGGACTCGTCCTCGGCTGGAGGAGCGTTGAAGGAGATGGCGTGGCCGGCACCGTAGACTTGTTGGTCTTTGTTTTTGTTAATGGGCAAGGGTCAGCGACGATGTTCCTGCCCGCCGTCCCGCCAGGGTTCGACGAAGAGGATTATGTAGAGACTTACCACGGTAGTTGCGGTTGTACTGCTGTCTTCCGCCGCGACCTTCCCTGTCCTTGCCCTCAGAAGTCCAGTCGGCCATGCGACCAAGCTTGTCGCCCTTGGAAAAGGGCGCATAGGGGACGCCGTTCAGGGTGGTGTCGCTGGTGACAGGCGGGCCCCAACCATCGCCAGGCGGGCAAGTCTCGACGAGCTTGACCCAGTCGGTTTCCTGAGCCATATTGGAGGATTTGCGTTTCCCTTCGGATCGGATGCGGGGAGGGGAGAGATGTCAAAGACTGCTCGAATCGAAATCGGGGAGGTCTGCTGTCCTTCGGGAGGGGAGGGGGTGCAGCAGCGCTTTCGGGCTTCAGGCAAAAGGATTGGAAAAGTCGTCAAGGATTTGGTGTAGTGCGCCTCCTCTCTCGCCGTTGATTTTCGTCGTTCGGATTTGGTGGGGTGGAAGTTTGTGGGGCACAGCGGGCAAAATTTCAGAGAGTTGTGTTTCGGCACCTGGCGTCGTCTGACAGCCACTCGTTTCCGCGTCGCGGGGCCACAGGCCAGCTATAAAACCCCATGCGATAGGTAGGCGGCGAATACATACAAATGGCATGTTTGCAACTGGCAGGGGCGCATTGGATGAGAGGGTGGGTGTACCGCCAGGTATTCGAGATGGCCTCAGTCTCACCCACCGTTCTCGGATTTCTTGGTTGTTGTTTTTTATCAAGCGTAAATTGTAGCCATGGTATCAAAAATATTCCCTTAACATCCTCCCAATAGTCCCTGCCTAACCACACGCACACGGAAATATTCCCTAAAACGCGCCATACACACACCGATATCGTATCTCCTTCATGAGCCAGCGTTGCACCCTTAGTAGGTGTAGGTCATCATCTCGGGCCCGGAGAAGAAGACGTTCTCCAAGGCGTCCCTAACCTCGAACTCCTCCATGACGGCGCCAAAGCTGAAGCCCAGTTAGCGCATGCGACCAAACCCTCGTCGACGAGAAGGAAAGCATGGTCGACACATACCCGTAGCATCGGACCTTGTCCTTGAGCTCGTCAGTGAGCTTCTGGAAGTCCTCGACCCGCAGCTCGTGGGCTCTGGGGTGGCCCAAGACCATGCCCCAGGCCATGACGGGCGTGACCTCGCCGTCGAGGTTCAGCTTCTTGCTGAGGTCGAGCAGGGCCGAGAGGCTGCCCTTGCTGACTTCCCACGTCCTCTGCTGGGAGTCCAGGTCTCCGTTGACGTTGCTGTACCCAAAGGGGATATCCGGCGTCAGCTCCGGGAAGGGAGCCGGCGGGCAGGAGGCCATCAGCGCGTGGCCGCAGGGCTCGCCGCCCATCTCGCTTGATCTCTCCAGTAGCCAGGGCATGTGGTTCATGCAGGGTTTCTCGAGACTGTTGCATACCCTCGATAAAAATCGGACTCGTCAGCAAGCTCTTCTCTTCCCGGTTTGAGTTCATCAGATCTTTCCCCCGCCCCACTCTCACGCCCACCCGAGCTCCAGATGGTGTCCAGGACTTGGGTGGTTATGACAGGTTCTCTCTTTTCTTCTTCAATTTTTCTTCACTGCGGGGGAGGTGATAGGTATGCCTTCGAGGGGTGGTGGTTATCGTACGTTAAGACGAAGTCAATGCCCGCTTGTTCAAGGTCCACACCTCTGCCAGAACCCTGTCCTTGTTGCCTGTTCTGCAGCTGCTGGCTGCCCATTTGGGGAAGGGGAGGGGGTGGACCGTGTGAGTGGGAGTGAGACGGACCGTAAGACGAGGGCGACACCGAGGGCGCTGTCGTGGATGTCAATGGCGGCGTGAAGGCGTTGCGGCCGTAACTGTTGCCCGACTGGCTGGCGCTGGACGTGTAGCCCACGCTAGGGTTGCTGACTATGTCGTCGCCGTAGTGGGAGAGGGGAATGCCGTTCTGGACGAGGAGCTGCTTAAGTTGCCGGTTCTCCTCGGCTATCTTGTCCTTGTCTTGGGAGATGTTGCTGAAGATCTCCTTCAGTCTAAGCACCTCGTCTTCCAGTGCCTTGATGTATAGCTCTTTTCTTTCACGGTGCGTGCTGCAGGTTCCCGTCGTCAGTATGCAAGACGGCATCGCCGAAGCCTCCAGTACGGGTTGTTGCAGCTTACCGTTGCGCCTGGCGGTTCAGTTCCTGTCGCCGAGTCAAGGCAGGCTTGCTGTCGGGCTTCGGTCCTCTTCGCTTTGGCGGTTGGCCGTCTACAAA